TTCTTTCTTTTAATTTTTATGATAATATACTTTTTTTTCTTTGAGAACAAGTTTTATCACTAATTGAAGAATACCTAAGAAAACTAACAATGGAGTTGGGCACTTAGGCTTATCTAAAATTTACGACATAAGAATATCCTCCACTGAATACACTAAAACAAAATAAATCTTTGAGAACAAGTTTTAGTATTAACTCTCATAATACAACTCTTTGAGGATAGAAATCCTGCATGGGAAGTTAGTGCACAGTGACTACTGTTGTCAATTTAACAATTAACACTCTTATGTATGATGTCAGTGATCAATTGAGGTGCTTGACATGAGCTGCCTATGCTATGAAAGCCTTTTGAATTCACAGACTCCTTCAATATTTAGACAAGGCCATAAGCAAAGTCTAAGTTCTCTCCTCCCTTCAGAGAAAAGTACATCTTTCTTTGATGACCACTTCTTTCCACTGGGGTCTCACCCACAGAGGTCCTTCATGTAGGGCCCTTTTTGCCAGTGTCTTGGCTTTTCATGCCTGAAATGCTCTTGTGGGCTTTTCAGCCAGACCAGAACGCCTTAAGGGCTGATTCTGAGGTTAGAGTACTACTTTAAGCAACTGTCTTTCTATGAGTCTGCTGCATGGATTGGTTCCCATGTTGGAGGATTTTTAATTCTATTATTATCACCAAACAATCCTATGTGTTTCACTGTAACACTTAATCCTATCTTATGATCACTTTAACACTTAAAATGCTTTCTTTACCACCCCACTTATGGGGATTTGGCATCCCATGGCAAGTTATTAAACTGTACCCTCCTAACCAGTCCACCCCTCCTCCCACCACTGGGTCACTCGGACCAGCAGGGGAATATGCTCTTCTCCACCCCATTTCTTCACTTCTCTTTGCAGTAAACTACCTTGAAAGAGTTATTTTGTTGTTGTTTTAAATAGGTACCAAGTCCTCTCCTCTTGAACCCCTCCAATTAGGTTTCACTCTTACTGCTCCACTAAAATTGCCGGTCAAGATCACCAATTACCCCCACACTGCTAAATCCAATGACTAATTTTTGGTCTTCACTTAAACTTAACTGTCAGCAGCATCTACCAGAGTTGATCATTTTGTTCACAATATATTTTCTTCTTAAGGCTTCAGTTACTAGATTCTGGTTTTTTTTTTGTTTTGTTTTGTTTTGTTTTACAGGCAGAGTGGACAGTGAGAGAGAGACAGAGAGAAAGGTCTTCCTTTTGCTGTTGGTTCACCCTCCAATGGCCAGCACACCGCGCTGATCCGAAGCCAAGAGCCAGAGGCTTCTCCTGGTCTCCCATGGGGTGCACGGCCCAAGGACTTGGGCCATCCTCCACTGCACTCCTGGGCCACAGCAGAGAGCTGGCCTGGAAGAGGGGCAACTGGGACAGAATCCGGCACCCTGACCAGGACTAGAACCCGGTGTGCTGGCGCCGCTAGGCGGAGGATTAGCCTGTTGAGCCATGGTGCTGGCAGTTACTAGATTCTTTTGCTTTTCTTTCTTTCTACTCTGCTGATACAGTCTCTGCAATTTCTTCCCAACAGATGCCACTAGATTCAGACCTTGGTCTGCCCATGTTGTTTCCTAACATTTCCTTTGTAATCTCATCTGATACTAACACTTTACATATACCTATATGCAGGTGACTCCCAAATGCTTATCTCCAGCCCAGATGTCTCTTCTGAATTCCACTGTTCATGTCAACACTTCCACTTGGATATCTAAAGGCATTTCAAACTTAACATTACATAACTACAGTAGTCATGACTGTGTGGTATTGGCAGAATGGCAGACATATGGAAAAAAGAAGAAAATAGAGAATCCAGTAACAGACCCACACACATATACTCAGCCAATTTTTTTTTAAACAAAGATGCAAAAGCAATTCAATGAAGGAAAGACAACCATTTCAACAAATATGTTAAAGCCAAGAACACATTCACAGGACACAAATTAACCTCGACCTAAGTCTTATAGTTTACTATTTTTAAAAATATTTGGGCCGGTGCCTTGGCTCACTTGGTTAATCCTCCACCTGCAGCGCCAGCATCCCATATGGGCACCGGGTTCTAGTCCCGGTTGTTCCTCTTCCAATCTAGCTCTCTGCTGTGGCCCGGAAGGGCAGTGAAGGATGGCCCAAGTGCTTGGGACCCTGCACCCGCATGGGAGACCAGGAAGAAGCTCCTGGCTTCAGATCGATGCAGCACCAGCCATGGCGGCCATTTGGGGGACGAACCAATGGAAGGAAGACCTTTCTCTCTGTCTATAACTCTACCTGTCAAATAAATTATACACACACACACACACATATATATATGAAAGGCAGAGAGAGAGAGAAAGAGGGAAGGAGGGAAGGAGGGAAGGAGGGAGGGAGGGAAGGAGAGAAGGAGGAGGAAGGAAGAGGCACAAGAAATAGCTTCCATCTGCTGGTTCAATCCTCAAATGCCTGCAACAGCCAGGGCTGTACCAGTCAGAAGCCAGGAGCCAGGAACACCATCTGAGTCTCTTATACCAGTGGCAGGAACTAAGTACTTGGGCCATCAACCACTGCCTTCCCAGGGACATCACTAGAAAGCTGGATCACACGCAGAGTAGCCAGAACTCAAACTGGCATCCTAGTATGAGACACTGGTGTTGCAAGGGGCAGTTTAACCTGCTGTGCCACATGCTGGTGTCACTCTTACACCTTATATTAAAACAAACTGAAAACAGATCATGGACTGGAGGAGAAAGCCTGAATGCCAAGGCACAATTCCTAAGAGGAAAAATGGATAAACTGTACTTCATCAAAACTAAAAACTTCTGCTCTGAGAAAAACCCTGCTAAGTGAGTAAAAAAATAGGCTATCGACTTGGAGAAAATATCTCCAAATCACACACCCAAAAAAGGACTAGTATCCATAGAATACAAAGCACTCTTAAAGCCTCAACAGTAAAAGAGCAGATCTGACTAGAAAACAGGCAAAGGGCATGAAGGACACTTCATGTAGGAGGTTATTTGCACACACAGATGGCAACAAGCACATTAAAATATGCTTAGCACCACTGACCATTATTGAAACACAAATAAAAATCTCAATGACATATCACTACACACCTATTAGAATGGCTAAAAGAAAAAACAGTGACAACACCAAATGCTGGTGAAGACATGGAGCAACTGGATCACTCATACACTGCTGGTGGAGGTGCAAAACGGTACCACTGGGTGGGGCCAGTGCTGTGGTACAGAGGGTTAAGCTGTCTCCTGAGACAGCGGCACCCCATATGGGCACCAGTTTGATTACCAGCTGCTCCACTTCCAATCCAGCTCCCTGCTAATGCCCCTGGGAAAGCACAGGAAGGCTGCCCAAGTGCTTGGGCCCCCGCACCCACAAGGGAGACTTGGATGAAGCTCCTGGCTTCGGCCTGGCCAAGCCCTGGCCATTGCAGCCATTAGGGGAGACCACCAGCTGATGAAGCTCACGCTCTCTGCCTCTCCCTCTGTAACTCTTTCAAATAAATAAATAAACCCTAAAAAAAAAAAAAAAAAAAAGGTGCAGCCCCTACTGTAGACTATATGGTGCCAACTAACATGAATGTGTCTAAACCCCAAACTCCACTACCTCAGAATGTAATCACCTTTGGAGATGAACCCTTCAAAGAGATGATTAAGTTAAGGTAAGGGTAAGACTCTGAAAGATTATGTGAGAACAGCATGAGAAGGTAACTTACCACCTGCAAGCCAAAAAGCAGGTCCCTACCCCCACACAGGTGAAACTAAACCTGACACCTTATTTGACACCTTATTCTTCAAATTCTAGACTTCAGAATAACGAGAAAATAAGTTTCTAACATTTAAGCGACCTAGTCTGTATTTCGTTATGGCAGTCCTAGCAAACGAACACAGCCACTATGGAAAAGAAACAATTTCTTTAAAAATTAAACATGCAACTACTATACTATACTATATACTATACTCCTGGGCATTTATCCCAAAGAAATGAAATCTTATGTTCACATAAAACCTGTCCACAAATGTTTATACAGCAGTTTTATGTGTAAGAGTCAAAAACTGGAAACCTAGATGTTCTTTAATAGACAAACAGCTAAACTAATACTACAGATACCACTCAAGAAGAAGGAATGAACTGATCAATGCAACAACCTAAATGCCAAAGAACTTTGCTGAGTGAAAAAAGCCAGTCCCAAAGGTTACATGGTGTGTGATGCCGCTTATGTAACTTTTTTTTTTTTTTTGACAGGCAGGACAGTAAGAGAGACAGAGAGAAAGGTCTTCTTTTGCCGTTGGTTCACCCTCTAATGGCCGCTACACCGCGCTGATCCGAAAGCAGGAACCAGGTGCTTCTCCTGGTCTCCCATGCGGGTGCAGGGCCCAAGCACTTGGGCCATCCTCCACTGCACTCCCGGGCCACAGCAGAGAGCTGGCCTGGAAGAGGGGCAACCAGGACAGAATCCGTGGCCCTGACCGGGACTAGAACCCGGTGTACCGGGCGCCGCAGGCGGAGGATTAGCCAAGTGAGCCGTGACGCCGGCCTGTAACATTCTTGACACATGACAAAATTAAGCCAACAGATTAAAAGTTGCCAGGACTTATGGAAGGGAGAAGGTGGGAAAGAAGTGGGTGTGCTATAACAGGACAACATGCCATGTCCAGGTGGCAGGGAAAACGTTTTGTAACTTATGCCAATATTTTCTGATTGTGATATTGTGACTACACTTCTGTACCATGCTTCCATTGGGAGAAACACCTGTCTTTATTAAATCTGATCTAAATCAGTAATTATCTCAAAATAAAAAAGCTTAAGAAAACCAGCAGAAATTTACCAACAACCAAAACAAACTCACACACTCAGTTTTCAGAAAAGCCCGCTGCAGGTGTAGGTGCTGTCTCTGTGGGTGTGCTTCTGGCTGGCTGTTTCCCTGGCTGCGGTGGCAGGAAGAGGCGCTGGCCTAAGACCCCACCTCAACACACCCCAGCCCACTTACCTGCTTCACTTTGACTGCCGAGTGGTGAGGACTCCGACTTCTCTTGCTCCGAGGAGACTTGCTTCTTCTCCCCGAGGACTTGTTTTTCTTTTTGGCTGGAGACCTTTCAGGGCATGGTACACACAGGATTTTATCTCAGTTTCCCTTCCCCCACATAAGCTAGCTTCTGGTATGGGGCTTACCTACTAACACAAACACATTTGTGAAAGACTGCTGATCACACCAAAGGAGCCGGGGGGCTTCCCTTTCCTCACCTACTCTCCCGCCTACGCCGCTGCCTCGGATCCTCCTCACCCAGGGAACACGGCTCTCCATCCCCTACCCTTTGAAGACTCTCCTGTCCAGGTCTGTCCCTTGGCTGTTCGCCCACCACCATGCAGAAGTCACTCTCATCACCACAATTCACGGCAGGCCCTGTAGCTCCACCTCCTCCCCGGCCCACCTCATCGCTACCATCCTCCTCCTCCTCCACACTCCAACGACAGGCCTTTTTTTTTTTTCTTCCCAGTTTCTACCACGATCACGACTTCTAGCTCACGTTCCTTGCACGTTTCCTCGGCGGCCAGATCACTCAGGTCTCTGCTCAAACGGCACCTCTTTCAAAGAGTTCTATCCCCGCTTCCTTCCAGTCTCTCACGATCACCTTACTGGGCCGACCTAGCCCTGAGACCTGTTGCCATCGGAAACTGTTTTGTTTGCTTGTTGGCAGTCTTCCTGGGGCTCAACCTCGTCCAATTTCACGAAAGACTCACCCGTGTGGCCCAGGTCCCTAGTGCACTCTTTAGTACCCTATAGGCATTCAGTAAAAGTACGCTGAACGATGAACAAACAGTGCGCCTAGCAGATCGCTTATACTCGCGTAGGGTGGATAAGGGCGAAGACAACGCCCGCACTCCCTGCGCGGGCAGACGGGGGGAAAATCTTTCAACTTAACGGACGATGAGTGCTAGCCGCTGGGCCACGCGCTCCGCGAAGTGCTGGCGACACACGAACGAGGGGGCGAGGCCCTGACCCACAGGCATCAGCTCGACCCCAGCTGTCACGCAAGTAACCAGCACCGGAGCATACACGCCTTAACCCGAGCGCGACCCGGCCACTCCCACCGCCTCCCGCTGCTGGGCTCGGCATTCAGAACCCACTTCTGACGCCGGCCCTGTGCTCTTTTCTCAATGAGTCCGACCCAAGGTCCACCCCGGCTGTTCTCTGCTTACCGGCTCTCTCCCCGGGCTCTGCTCCCGCGGTGGCCAGGGCGGCCCGGCTCGCCGGCCGGCGGGGACGGAGTAGCGCCGAGGTCCGGCCGGCGGGGGGCGGGCGGCTCGGCTTCCGGACTGAGGCGCTCCTGCTTCACCACCACCGCCGCCGCCGCCGCCGCCGCCACGTCCCCCTCCCGGTGCCTCCGCCGGCTCCGCCGCTCCCGCTCGCTCTTCACCTCTTTCATTCTGCGACTCGGGTCGGGCAAAAGAAAAGAGGTCCGTTGAGCCACTCTCTCCGAAGGAAATGACGAGCTTGACCTCTGGACTTCCGCTTCCGGGGTGTGAGCTCTCCCAGCAACCCTCGCGGCGGAGCGCTAAACACGTGACGGCGCCCCCCGCCGTGGGCGGGGCTGCAGGGAGCCGGCCCAAAGGGCGGGAGTTTTAAGTTTGGAAAGCAAACTACTGGGGAAAAGCGAACCTCTCAAGTTAATTCTTCACCGCGTAACTACAGAGCATGTGGGCAACCTCAATGTACAGCTGTAGGGGGCTCCTTAGCCAATCACTGGGCATTACGTAGCTATTAGTAACGTTATCACGAACCATATACCGCTTTGTGGAAAAAGCCCGGACCGACACGGTAGAGGAAGGCGACGAAACTGCGCGCCAACCGTGATTCCACTTGGCCTTGGAAATACAAAAATGCAATCATAGTAGCCCGTGGACAAATCCTGCTATGTCAGTTCGCCATTTAACCTTGAGGAATACTTTTTAAAGCCCTGGGGATTCCAGAGACCCTCTTTTGGGGAATGGTCTCCAGCCCTTCACTGAGGTGACAAACTTGGGGCTCAGCGAAGGGGGATCTACCCAGTCACGCAAGTTGCGCGCTATACGCAGCGCAGGGACTCGAACCCCCGTCTCCCGGGCGACCCGGCTGGCAGCAAGATTAAGACGCCGAGTGCCGGAGCCGCGCGCCAGGGCCGCGCTAAACGCGTCCGCGCGCCGCGCCACGCCCACCCGAGGCCCCGCCCCGGCCGGGAGGGGGGGCGGTTTCCATGGTGACCGCAAACCAGGCCCCCATCGCCGCCATGATCCCCCCGGCCGACTCTCTGCTCAAGTACGACACCCCGGTGTTGGTGAGCCGGAACACGGAGAAACGGAGCCCCAAAGTGAGGACGGGCCTCGGGGGACCGGGCCAGGCAGATCCCCGCGGCGAGAGTCGGGAGTCCGGGGACGGGCCCTGGGACGGGCGGAGAGGGAGCGAGTGGTCCGGGTGGTCCAGATGTCGCTGGGTGTGAGCGCCGCAGGTTAGACCTGGTCGCGGGGAGACAGACGGTCGGGATTCCTCTCCCGGTAGTCGGGTTCAAGGACAGGTCAGGTCGCGATGTCCCCACCGCTACAGGTGGGAGCGCAGACGCCTGGCCGCTTCCTCCAGAGACACTGGTCCGCGCATTGCGTTGGGACCAGGGACTCTTCACGGGCTGGGGGTAGGGGAGGGGGTGCGCAAGACCCGGAGGCGTCCAGGGGGCTGAAGGCCTGAATCGTCTCTTCCCAGGCTCGGCCACTGAAAGCCAGCCCCCAGCAGCCGGGACCCTCCAGTCCAATCCCACAGATAACCAAGACCAAGCTCCCCTCAACTTCCTGTGTCCCAGATCCTACAAAGCAGGCAGAAGAAATTTTGAATGCCATTCTGCCCCCAAGGTAAAGCGTGGGCGCAGAGGCTGGGAGAAGACCAGACTTTGGTAGTGTGGGGAGAGGCGTTCGGCCCCCGTGCCTGGCCAGGGTTTCCTCCCTTGCTGGCCTGGAGCCGAGTCCAGAGGGTGGCAGGAGACCGCATCTCATTTCCTGAGTGCTCCCACCCAACCTCAGGGCCGGGGATGCCATCTTTGAAAGGTGTATTTCCCGCCCTGTCCTCTCTCCTAAACTCCAGGACTTCCTCAGTAGCTCTGTGAAGGTGTCCAGTGGACATCCCACACTCAGTGTGTCCACACTCACTCACAGCTTCGCACTCGCCCGACCGCTCATCCCGATCTTCTCCTTTCTGCTGGGAAACTCAGGCCACTTTTTGTTCCTTTTGGTCTTTGTGTCCTGTATCCTTCAGCAAACGATTCTGGCCCCACCTTCCAACCCCAATCCAACCACTTTCTCGGCGTCTGCCTGCACCACCTCTTTCCCGGGCGCTTCAGCGTTGGCCTCTTGTCTGGAAACCCCACTTACTCCTGCTCCAACAGCCTGTTCTCCACGCAGCCCCTAAGTCACAAGTCAGACTGTGCCAGTCCTCTGCCAGAAACTGGTGTCCCATGCCACTCACATGGAAGCCTGAAGCATGATCTGGCCCGGGCTGTAGTCCCAAATCCTATCACCTGTAATCCTCCTTCTCGTGAAGGCAAAGGGTTTCTGAAACACCTCAGTCCTCCCCGCCCCCACTCAGGGCCTGGACAGTTGCTGTCCTCACTGCCAGCCACGCAGATCCCTTGCGATCCGCCCCCACCCCGGCCCCGGTGGTTCCCTGGGGTGATTCCCTGCGTGTTTCTGCTCGGTCCTTGCTCCAATGACGTTTCCCCCCAGGAGGCCTTCCTTGAGACCCCTGCCCAGCTCGACCCCTTTCCCTGGCCTTTTTCTCCCGCAGCCACACTGAGCACAGACACACCCTTTTAATGTCTTATGCAATAACACACAGAACAGTTTGCAAGGCGATGAGGAAAGGGGAAACTCTGAGCTCCAAGATGGAGGTCAAAGGAGCAGGGTGGCTTTTCGGTTGCTTCTCCCCCCCCACCCCCCCCACCCCATGGCATAGAAACACCCTCCCTTGTGGTGGTTCTGTCTCCAAGCCCCCTCACTGTGATTCCTGAATTGGTCTGAGCCTGGATCGCAGAGTTCACTGCGGGAAGCCCATGCAGGCACATACCTTAAAGAACCTCTGCACGGGCTCACTTGGTTAATCCTCTGCCTGCAGTGCTGGCATCCCATATGGGCACCGGGTTCTAGTCCCGGTTGCTCCTCTTCCAGTCCAACTCTCTGCTGTGGCCTGGGAAGGCAGTGGAGGATGGCCCAAGCCCTTGGGCCCCTGCACCTGCATGGGAGACCAGGAAGAAGCACCTGGCTCCTGCCTTCAGATCAGCGCGGTGCACCGGCCGCAGCAGCCTTTGGAGGGTGAACCAATGGACAAGGAAGACCTTTCTCTCTGCCTCTCTCTGTCTCTCTCTCTCTCACTGTCCACTCTGCCTGTCAAAAAAGAAGGGGGTGGGGGGGAGCTGGAGCATGGGTGATTTCACAGAGATCACTCACCTACTCTAGACCCAGAGTAGAGTGCCTGTGGAGGCAGCATGGTGGGGTTGGTGAGAGAGGCCTGGAGGACCCTGATGGGTAGCTGACAGAGCTGCCCCTCACTCTTGCTTAGGCAGAGAACTCCAAGGGCTCGGAGTCCCTGCTCAGGTCGTTGTGTGTCTGGCTCAGCCTGGCTGTTTCTGTGCCACAGGGAGTGGGTAGAAGACACGCAGCTATGGATCCAGCAGGTGTCCAGCACCCCCAGCACCAGGATGGACGTGGTGCACCTGCAGGAGCAGCTGGACCTGAAGCTGCAGCAGCGGCAGGCCAGGGAGACCGGCATCTGCCCGGTCCGCAGGGAGCTCTACTCGCAGTGTTTTGGTGAGTGGGCCTGGGGGAGGTGGGCACTGCACCCCCACACAGAAGCCCACCCCAACAGAATCATCTCTTCTCCCCCAGCCCGGCCCACCCAGAAACTGCCAAGTGCATGGTCTACTCCCAGCTCCGCCTCTCCCTAGTCCCCCACCTAGCTCTGCTCTTGACAACCTGGGATCCTCACCCCTTAGCAGATACTTGGGGCAAAACAAAAATTTCCATTTTAAATCTTGCATTTTTTTTCCAAAGATTTCTGTAGTAAGTATGTATGTGCTAATTTTTTAATCAGAAAAACTGGTTCTGTATTTCCATCCATTCATCAACATTTGGCCTTTAGTCCAGAAAAAACATGGTCTAATTTGTTGACTGACAGACACAAGGGATTTTTTTCTTTAAAGATTTATTTATTTGAGGCCGGCGCCGCGGCTCACTAGGCTAATCCTCCGCCTTGCGGCGCCGGCACACCGGGTTCTAGTCCCGGTCGGGGAGCCGGATTCTGTCCCGGTTGCCCCTCTTCCAGGCCAGCCCTCTGCTGTGGCCAGGGAGTGCAGTGGAGGATGGCCCAGGTGCTTGGGCCCTGCACCCCATGGGAGACCAGGAAAAGCACCTGGCTCCTGGCTCCTGCCATCGGATCAGCGCGGTGCGCCGGCCGCAGCGCGCCGCCCGCGGCGGCCATTGGAGGGTGAACCAACAGCAAAAGGAAGACCTTTCTCTCTGTCTCTCTCTCTCTCACTGTCCACTCTGCCTGTCAAAATAAAAAAAAAAATAAAAATAAAAAAAAAAAAGATTTATTTATTTGAAAGTCAAAGATACAGAGAGAGGAGAGGCAGAGAGAGAGAGAGTCTTCCATCTGATGGATGGTTCACTCCCCAGATGTACTCGATGGCCGGAGCTACGTCGATCTGAAGCCAGGAGCCAGGAGCCTCCTCCGGGTCTCCCACGCGGGTGCAGGGTCCCAAGGGCTTGGGCCATCTTCTACTGCTTTCCCAGGCCATAGCAGAGAGCTGGATTGGAAGAGGAGCAGCCAGGACTAGAACCGGTGTCCATATGGGATGCTGGTGCTTCAGGCCTGGGCGTTAACCCACTGAGCCACAGTGCCGGCCCCAGACACAAGGGATTTAAGCTCTATGCCCTTGAGTGCTGGTGTCCCCTGCTGTACCCTGGCCCAGTCCCGCAGGCCCTGTGGCCTAGGATTTACAAATGGCCTTCAAACCCTCAAGTAGCTACAGGGTCTATCAGGGTTCCCCCCAGTCTGGATAGGGCTGTGGTGTGTCCTGCAGGTCAGCCTGGAGGGAGGAAAGAGGTGGGCGGGCTCTAGACCCCAGCCGACTGGTTCAGCCAAGGGTTCCCAGTGCTTCCCACTGACCACCATCTTCAAACTCAGAGTCAGATTTGCCCAGTTTGTGCTGCAGACGGCCCTGAACCCTGGGCTCCCTCGGCCTTGGCCAGGTCAGGCTCGTGAGTGCTTACTGCACCCAAGTGCCAAGTTCAGGACAGCTGCGTGGCAGGTCTCCCTGGGCCTCTGAAGGCACCTTCCCGAGGGGCAGGGGGTCTGCAGCAGGTGCCTCCCAGGCCCCCTTTCAGCCGCCTTCTCCCCCCGCCCGGAAGACGAGCTGATCCGGGAGGTCACGATCAACTGCGCCGAGCGGGGGCTGCTGCTGCTGCGCGTCCGGGACGAGATCCGCATGACCATCGCCGCCTACCAGACCCTATACGAGAGCAGCGTGGCCTTCGGCATGCGGAAGGCGCTGCAGGCCGAGCAGGGGAAGTCGGACATGGAGAGGAAAGTGAGTGGGGTGCAGGGGACCTCTGGCCCTCTGCAACTCTTCCGGCAGCCCTGGGGGGCCCCGCGTCTTCGCCTCAGGCTGGACCCTCAGCTGGGTGTGATGCCTGCCTGCCCTCCAGGTGGACGCTGCTGCGTGCCAGTCGCCAGCTTCCCACTGGGTGGCAGTACATGGCTGGGGTTGGACAGCTGTGCCCCCGCGGCTCCCCTCCTCCAGCCACCCAGGGTGACGGGACATTCTGTCTTCAGATTGCAGAACTGGAGACGGAAAAGAGAGACCTGGAGAGGCAAGTAAACGAGCAGAAGGCAAAATGTGAGGCCACGGAGAAGCGGGAGAGCGAGAAGCGCCAGGTGGAGGAGAAGCGGCACAACGAGGAGATTCAGTTCCTGAAGCGGACCAACCAGCAGCTGAAGGTAGAGGCGCAGCCCAGGGCCCGCGAGCCTGCCGGCCCAGCCTGCACTCGTCCCTTCCCCACCCACCCCTGCCAGTGTGTGCCCTGTACTGCCACGGAGCGAGAGGAGACACCTGGATACAGCACAGAATGGGGCTTTGTCCCCTCGAAGCTGCTACCCCAGAGGCTTCCTCCAGTGTCTTGGGCCCCACCGGCAGGCTCTGTCGCTGACAGTCCCTCGGAGTGTCGACATGTGTGGGGACAGTGGCAGGAGGAAGGCAGAACTGGGGGCAGGCACACTGGAAAGCTTCCCCAGTGGGTGTGGGGCAGGTGTTTTATGAAGACAGGAGGGAGGAAGATCCATGGAAGAGGCCATGGCACCGGCCCCTGCACCTCCATGCTGCGTGGTGCAGTGGCTCTCAAAGGTTGGGCCCCTGCCCGGCACCCTCCTCAGCACCAGGGAACTCTCAGAAATGCAAAGTGCTCACTAGTCTCTGCCTGCTGGGTCACAGCTGGGACTCAGCGCAGCTCCGGTTTACCAAGGTCTCCGTGACTCGGACGCTTGCTGAAGTCAGAATCACTGTCTAGACAGACGGATGAGAGTATTAAGAAAGTATATGCAACATGGAATGACGAGTCGGGCTTATCTTGATGCAAACAAAATGGAAATGCACCCATGGTTTTCTCCATCCTGAGGACCCCTCACATGAGGCGTACTGATGTGCAGGGCTTGCCCCCGTGCCCCTGGAAGTAGCCCCTGCTCCCCAGGCTCACAGGAAGCTCACATTCTGAGATCAGTGGACCTGGTGACTCCACAAACCAAAACGGCCCACCATGCCCGAGAGGGAAGGCTTCATACGAACCGCCACGCAGGACCACAGATTTTCTTGAAACTCCCCCAACCAGACATGAATCTGTTGACGTAAAGCCTCTGAAGGGGCGCCCCTTTCCTGCCACATCCCTTTACCCCAGTCCCCAGTTCCTTGGCGCCCCCTGCAGTTGTAGCAGCAAGAGCAGAGTGCCTTAGCATCTTGCTAACATTTCAAAGCAGCCGTGTCCTCCCTGGGGTGAAGGATTCTTTAGGTGAGTTGTTTTCATTGGCTCAAGGCTGCACTGCACATAAAGCAGTGTTTGCAGTCCCCAGGACAGGCCTACTTAAAGATCTCTGCGTCCCATCCCAGGAAATTACTGGACTGGCTGGGAGAGGCGCAGGGGAAGTCTCCCCCGGGTGTCCTCAGCTTTATGTACAAGACAGACAGCTCCCCGTTCACTGGTAGCAACTTCCTGTACTTGGGTGTCAAGTTGTCTCGGTGGCTGAAAATCTGCTGTTTCCCAAACCTCTGGTCCCGGCAGAGTTCCTAGGATCTTAAACCAGAACGCCAACTGTTTAACTTAGCACACATATTCAGGACTGAAACCTGAGCCATGAAAAACCGCTATTTCAACAACTTTTATTCAATTTCCTTTTCAATGCTTTCTATGATACAATGAGCCGTTATTGTATGGAAACCAGGGCAGCTCTGGTTTCTCCTAATGCAGCAAGACCGTTTGCCAAGCCAGAAAACTAGCTAATCCAGAAAACATGGATCTGGGAATGAAGGGAAAGAGAACACGTGGAGCGGCAGTGTCTGGATGGCTCTTCCCCACAGACTTTTATCACCTCTCAGCTATGTGTGTCAGACTGCAAGCTTCAAATATTAATGGAGTTTGTTTTTGTTTTTCAGGCCCAACTGGAAGGCATTATTGCACCGAAGAAGTGATAATTTCCATATGGGCCTTAGCAAGCGTGACCACCCCATCAAAAGCCCTTGGTAATAAAAAGCTAGTTTCCTGAGTGAACAAGCCATCCCTCCCCTGATCACCACCTGCATGTGCCAGATGCCACCTGAGCTCTGGCAGCCAGGCCCCTGGTTGGGCAATGGAAGGTGGCGTAGCCGAGTCTCCGTAGGTGGCTGACTGACCGGGTCTCTGCCAACTCTGACTCTCAAAGTACTGCTCCCCTGCCATCTCTGCACACCATCACTAACTTCTGGTCAAATGAAGCTGTCTGCCCCTCCAAGGCTGGGTTCACGACGCACCACAAACCCTAACGTGGGCTTCTCTGGTCTCTCTTCCCTTATTGGATGTCTTTTTCCCTCCTCCAAAACGTTTCCACTAACTCATTTTGGAACTTTGGTTTTTACTGCAGCATCTCATCCCCACCTACCAAGTCAGCTCCCCTCCCTCCTTAGTTTCAGACAGCCCAGGTGAGGGAGCAGTGACAGGCAACCTGCAGCTTTGGAGGGAGGAAATGTTTGCTGGAGGGGAGGCCAAGCCCCAACTTGGCAACTGTGTGCACCTGAGCTCCTCCATACTGAATGAGATCTGGTCACCTTCTGCAGAGATCCAACCCCAAACACCTCGCAAATTAGCTGTGTTTCATTAACACAGAGGCAGCCAAATCTCACGTGCAGTTCTCATTACAATGATCAGGCCTGGCCTCTACACAGCCGCACTTTTCTATTCCTCTAAGCTAAACGTCAGGAGGCTTAGCACTTTAAGCGATTGGCAGACTCAGAAGACTGAATCAGTGACATAAATCTGTCATTCAGGGCCGCAAGCTGGGCGACCCCATCACTGAGTAGAGGCTGACCAGTGCCATGAGCTAAGGCAGCACTCACAGGCCTGCTGGGGGCCTGAAGCACTCAGTGCCTGTGCAGCCGTGAGAAGAGGCGCCCTCCCTGGCACAGCCTTGAGCTGACATCCCTCCTGCTCGGGGAGTCCCAACACCTGACTCACTCTTCGCTGTAACTTGCTGTCCCAGCTCTTCCCCTTGTCAGTGCTGTAAGGTAACCCACCCACGGGCATTTCCACAGGAGGCCACTGTTGTTCCTTGAGATCCTAAATGGGTCCACGAGACAGACTCAGTGAGAGACAGGAGCTGCTGGAGCTCTTCCCGCATGCATGACAGGCTGGCCCATGGCCACCAGCACCTTTGCCATGCGCTTCTGATAGTTCTGTTGCAAGCAAGGCCACTTTCCACCATGTAGACCTCACCTCCCGTCTCCGCCAGGCATTTCCAGAGCAAGGCTGCGCTCGGAGGGACCGGGAGGGCTCACTGCAGCATGCAGTGCCAATGGACTTGACCACGAAACCCGGAAGCGTGAGGGGCTCTGTCAGTATTGTCAGCAGACGGCAGCGCTGTGGCCCTAGAAATGCCAACTGGGTGGAAGAAAATGGACACACGTTCTAGTTGCGTATTTTTGTATAATTTAATAAACCTTGGAAGCATTACTGCTTATGTCTGAATGCTTTGTGTCGCTGTCGCTGTCGCTGACCCTGTCCCTCTGAATCACTGGTCTTCTTTTTGTTCCTGTTCCTGTTCTTCACGTTGTGTGTGTCGTAGTAGCGGACCCCAACTTTTTTGGACTGCTGCTGCCGTGCCGCTCGCCTCCGCTGTAAGAGGTGGCAGACAGGAGAAAGCAGTCAAACACCAAAAGTCACAAAGCAAGAGCCTCTGTTGCCTCCTCTCGGGCTCCCGCAGCGGCACCGAGGAGGGAGGGCTCGCTCAGACCCAGCGCGCTCTCCCCGGGTGACGTCCAGAGTCATCCCCGAGTCACATTCTCACTCAGGCCAGGTGTGGTCAGTATGGTCAGACACCTGTGAGGACAACCACCCTCCTGCCCAGAGGGTCCACTCCAGCGAGGGGTCGGGGACGTCTGGCCCTGCCCAGGCAAGCGCAGGTAGGATTTGAGATTCAGTAAATCCACAGCAGGCTAATTTTTAAGTTGATAATTCTGGATGGCCTGAGAATGACGTTATAAATATCCACATGGCCCTGGGCAGAAAAAAGTGTCCCCACCCTGAAACACTCTTGCTTATCACACGTCATCTCCCCGGGACCACAAAACAAACCAACTCCTCCACGTGATTTCCATGTGTGGGAGGACAGGGCCGGGGGCCTCCTAAGACACAGGACAGGGACTCAAGAGCCTCCACCCACGGGCCACCTACTGATCCTGTCTACGGGTGCCCAGGTCACTGAGAGCTGGGGTTCCCGGGACTCGCTCTGGAGCATCAGTTTCGAGAGTGGGTCTTGAGAACTGGGCTCCCCTCAACTTGCTCTACCCGGGCTGTACTTACTTCTCTACACGTGAGCGTCCTGCGCGTTTTATCTGAGCACTCCTCGTCCCTCTGTGCCTTCCGCTTCTTTCCTTTGTTGGTAGGTGCTGGATAAGAACAATCCACAGACACACAGTAAACAAACCAGTATTTTCTGTTCAAAATTTGCAAACCCTAGGGTGGAACAGGTTAACTGTGTCGGAAGGAAGGTGTGGACAGAGAGGGTGAGCAAAGCAGGGTGAGGCTGGGAGGGCGCCAGGCCAGGACAGACGTCACAGGCCACAGCCGGATCTGCATTTATATCAGGTAAACAGGCTGATGTGAAGCCAGTCGTCAAATGAGGTAAAGAATAAACGAAACACGCTCTGTTCCCCAATTTGTCTGTGGTCTCACCCTTGGGTTCTAAGGTTAATAGTGGACCCTTCTTAAGAGGTTTCCTCTGTTGAAATCTTTACTTAGTATAGAGTTGATCTTCTGCGTATAAAGATAATTAAAAATGAATCTCAATGAAGAATGGGAAGGGAGAGGGAGTAGGTGAAACGGGAATTGGGGGGCGGGTAAGGGGGGAAGAACTGCTATATTCCAAAAGGTGTACCTACAAAATTTATTAAATAAAAGCTTTCTAAAAAAAAATAAATAAAAAGTTTCCTGGGGGCCTGGCACTGTGGCATAGCTGTTAAGGCTGTTGCCTGCGGTGCCAGCATCCCATATGGGCATCAGTTCAAGTCCTGGCTGCTCCACTTCCAATCCAGCTCTCTGCTATGGCCTGGGAAAGCAGTAGAAGATGGCCCAAGTCCTTGAGCCCCTGCACCCACGTGGGAGACCCAGAAGAAGCTCCCGGCTCCTGGTTTCAGATTGGTGCAGCTCCAGCCATTGAGGCCAATTGGGGAGTAAACCAGTGGATGGAAGATCTCTCTCCTCTCTCTGCCTTTCCTTCTCTGTGTATCTCTGACTTTCAAATAAATAAAACTTTAAAAAAAAAAGTTTCCTGAATTGCCAAAAGAATCGTAAGAAATGCACGGAATGAAAGTGGATGTGATGTAATTCATACGATACACAGCACGTGCGGCAGATCCGCTGAGGACCTGAGCGGTGGACAGCACTAGAGAATCTGCAGATCCAGATCGCATCTCAGCGGCAGAACACTTACCTTCACCTGCATCTTCTGCCTCTTGAGATGTTTTTCTCTGTTCTTCAGACTTCGCAAAAACCATTTCACTTAGCCCCTTGGATATCCTGAAACAGAAAAGCAGAGTCACGAAGCCACCCAGCGCTCCTCTCAATGGCACAACTCACACCTGACTTGCAGGCCGGGAACAAGCTCCAGGCTACAGAGGTGGCACCCCACGGCCACAATCACCACAGGGAAGGGTCGATGCCCAACAGCCCCCGGAGCCCTGCGGGCGTCTCTAACAAGCCCGGACACTAATCTCATACATCCACTAGTGCAAATGTCACAAAATTTATCCATCAAGGATCAAAAATGCCAACAGTCTTCCCTCCAAAAGCACTGCTCTAATAGTGATGGCAGGTCTGGGGGAAAGGGACAAACACACTGCGGTTCGAGACAGAGGGACATCAATACCTGACTGCTGAAAACTTTTTGGCTTTGGCTTTGTTTAAAAACTTCTGATACTTGGCGATCTTTTCATCCAGGGCTTTAAGAACTGCTTTGGTGTTGCTTCCGACAGGCTCTCCCTGGGGCTCCTGGCAAGGCTCTTCCTCGTCGACTCCGGGCTGCTCCAGCTCCTCCTCCTCCTCCTCCTCCCCCGCAGACAAGCTCTCAAGCTCTTCGTCAAGCTCTGACATCTCCACGGGCACCAGGTCGTCCCCAGAGAACTGGGGCACCACGTTGATCTTGCCGAAGTTCTGCCGAACCCGCGCCAGGATCTCCTGCATCTCTGAGCTAACAGTGCAGTGACCGGCCCCTTCCTTCTCATTCTCCGTCACTCGCTCCAGCCCTTTGCTGCTGGCTTCTGGGGTTCTCTCCTCTGGGTCGTTCTGGGGAGTTTCCACGGCAGCGTCCAGGGGTGAGGAGGGGCGATGCTGCTGAGTGAGGACAAGGAGGGGCCAGTGGGGAACAGAAACAGAAGATGGGAGTGGATTTTTTCACTCCCTCAAACGCCTGTACCAGCTGCCTCTGGGCTAGACCAAAGACAAGAGCCTGCAGGAACCCAATTCAGGTCCCCCAGTGGGTGGCAGGGACCCAAGTACTTGAGTCATCATTTCTTGCCTCCCAGGATCTGTATTAGCAGGAAGCCGGGGGCAGGTATCAAACCCAAGCACTATGATGTGGTACATGGGCGTCATAACCAATAATGTAACCACTAGGCCAAATGCCTACCAGAAAACTGAATTTCTCAACTCATAAGAGGGCGTTCTCTCATCAAGGCTAAGGAGAAGTGGGGCTGGCACTGTGGCACAGTGGGTTAAAGCCCTAGCCAGTATCGCTGGCATCCTGGCTGCTCCTCTTCAATCTAGCTCTCTGTGATGGACTGGGAAAGCAGTGAAGGATGGCCTAAGAGCTTGGGCTCCTGAACCTACATGGGAGACCCAGAGGAAGCTCCTGGCTCTGGATCAGCTCAACTCAGACTGTCACAGCCATTTGGGGAGTGAACCAACAGATGGAAGATCTCTCTCTGTGTCTCTACCTCTTTCTAACTCTGCCTATCAAATAAATAAAATATTAAAAAAAAAAAAAAAGACTAAGGAAAAGAACAGAAAGCACCCAAATTTTGAGTCACACCATTACTGTACTCTAAGCCAATGTATATTAAGCGCAGAAACCAGTGCTAAAGGATCAGAGGAACGCAAATGTATCAGTGGCTGCAGAGGATAACTGAGAGCACTCAACCCTTAAAATCAATCCCTGTTTACTGTGCACTCATAAAATTCCCTAGATTTTCCAGGAGTACTGTAAGGGAGAGGGGGCCACTGGGACAAGCACAGTGACAGAAAAATGAAGCCAGGCAGATTGGGAGGGATCAGAGGACTCATCCAGGCGTCAGTTACTAAGGAGCAGCAGCGAGGCGCATGAGGTGACACGAGGCAGATGTGACACGAGGCGGGGGAAGGACTGAGTGACGGGGCCGTAGTAGTGGTGCTGCAAGAGAGCTGTGCACCGAGCTCTCCACTGGCGCTCCCCTTGCATATCCCTGTCTTCCTGCTACTGAGGCTCGCAACATGTCAGTCATTTCCCAAAGTCAAGAATGGCTGTTGGGGCAGCGAGTTAAAGCCCTGGCCTGAAGCGCCGGCATCCCATTTGGGCGCCGGTTCTAGTCTAGGCTGCTCCTCTTCCAATCCAGCTCTCTGCTATGGCCTGGGATAGCAGCAGAGGATGGCCCAAGTCCTTGCCTTGGGTCCCTGCACCCACATGGGAGACCTGGAAAAAGCTCCTGGCTTTGGATCGGCACAGCTCCAGCCATTGCGGCCATCTGGGGAGTGAACCAGCAGATGGAAGACCTCTCTCTCTGTCTCTACCTCTCTCTAACTCTTCCAAATAAATAAAATAAAAAGAATGGCTGGGCAAAATGTTACAGAAGTTAGGAACTCATGGAATTCAGGAAACCATACACAAAATATATAAGCAGCTAGGTATACGTGGGGATAGCCTGGGAACCCCATCTGCACGTGGCACCCAAAGTGGGGCCGTCTTGTGGGGTCTGCACAACTCTGGGAGTCACCATGCCAACACTCCCCACTGGAATACCAGTGCAGGGGTCAGGGACTTGCCTGGCTTCTACTGCAGCACCCCCAGGACCAAGAAGGGTACCTGGTACACGGGGAGGCTGACAGGAGACTGCTGAAGGTGTGTGTCCAGAACCAGTGACCTAACCCCCAAAGCACAGGGTCAGGGACTGCTGTGTGGTTAGCTGGTGGGTTTAGCTAGGGGAGGGGGGACAAGGCCCATTAACACCTGCCTCAGGGGTGCTGATTTTGAAATGCAGTCGAGAATATTCAACCAAAAATACGAAGCTGCAGCTGCCGCCCGGGTACGCCCTGGGAACAGCCTGGGGACTGAGTGCAGGTAAAAGGAAACTGGAGCCAGACAGATCCAAGTGGTGTTAGTATAGAAGCAAAGCCTGAAGCCACCTCTTCCACGGGCTTGGCTGAGTTCCGAAAGAGGCAAAAGCAAAGCAAAGCACTGAGTCTGAGCCTGGGGCAGTCGGCCACCAGGGAAAGGGGCGCGGGACAGCAGGGAACCTTCCGGACTCAGCCCCGGGCCCCAAACCTCAGTATCACCCCTACCACTCTCCACCTGACCACGGCATGTCAAGGGCGAGAGCTGATTCACGCCTGGATCCCCGGGCCTGGCACACAGCTGGCTTGAGGAATGTTTTCACCAAAGGAATCTTGGCAAGCCTCCGCTCCTCAAGCATAAGAAAAACTAAAGGGGTCAGCAGGTCATCCACTGAGGCCTCTTTCCCCAGGCCCTGCAGACTGGGCTTCACCCCACTCCTACGTATTAGTGTCTAAGTGCCTCCCCCATAAAGCTCACGGCTGGGGCACTCGGCAATGAGACATGGTGGCTCAAAGATGCAGCAGAGAAGGAAGGGAGGCCGTGCAAAGTCCCCCCACACCTGGGTGAGAGCCCTGCTTCCCAAGAGCTGGCTCCCCCCGGGTCTTACCTGGGGGGCTGCAGGAGGCTCTGCGTTGGGAGGTTTGACAAAGAAAGGAATCCGGCCCCTCTGCCAGTCATTGAGGACCATCTTACCCACAGTCTGCAAGTCGGGCTCCCCACCCTGAAACGGCAGAGACTCCCAGTCAAAGCCCACGAATGAAACCACCTCCCACTCTGGGGCATTTCAGCCGTCCCGGTGTCCATCAACCCTTAGCTGACAAATTTCACACTGCTCGGGAAAGGCCCACACCAAAGGCCCATTCTCTCTCTCTCTCTCTCTCTCTCTCTCTCTCTCTCACACACACACACGCACAGGCATATGGTACACACCAGTCTCAATTCTCACAGCCCCGGCTCACCTTCAGTAACTTCCCAGTCCGGAAAGCTAGCTTCTCAAGGAAGTCCTCAGCGTTCTCCCAAGAGTCGATCTTGTATGTCTTGCTGATATACTCTGGCTTGGCTCGTTCAAGTACGGCACCAACATGGTCTTCAGGAGTCTTAATTTTTTCGACTTGAACCTAGATGTCAATAGGAAATTCTTGGGGAAGCTGTGGGATCCCCAGTGTTCTCTGTAGCACTGTTTGCAAACAGATCTCTACAGGAGGTGGCAAGGGGAGCCTGGCCGTGCCAGGGAGCTCAGAATTTAGCCGTTAAACCCTGCTCACCACAAACTACCCATATGTGGCTTCTGCAAACAGTTTAAGCTTGGGATGCTTCATGTTACTTGCAGAAATGGTTAAAAGCCTGCCAATCCCAGGACACAAAAAGAACAGATTAGTTTAAGAAAGGAGGGAAGGAATGTGCACAGGATGTATAGCCAGAAGCATGGTCAAGGTTAAGTGGAACCATTCAAAGTTTTCGGTCACATTTAGAAACAAGTGAGGAAATGACTGGGTTCCATGATGACTCAACCCATAAACCCACGAAGATGAATTATCACTAAACATAAACAGGCCCTGCCTCCCTCTGGACCCAGTGTGTAAACTACAAACCCTCTTGTGGGATGATACTGACCAGATATGCCCGTGGTTCCACTAACTCCTCCAACAGGCTGAAGTGGGAAGGAGAGGCCGCCCTGTTCAGCATCACGCTCCCAAAGTTTGGTCGGACAGGGTGACCAAACTGACCCCAACGTGCCTTCTGAACGAGCAGGAAGCAAAGCAGCCCAGACTCCCCGCAGACGGCAAACAAGGAGGCCCTCAGGACCCAGTACTCACAACTCCTTTCAGCACAATGTCTGTCTCCGAGTCCTCCGACGGGTAAACCACACCTGGACAGTCGATCAGGAAAATCCGACGCATCAAGGTGATGTACTGCCAGACCTGAGGACAGAAAAAAGCCAGGGACACCTCCGTGTTACACACACAGTGTGTCTCACTTCCAAAGCCCCGAGACTCACATACCAAGCCCGAGAGGAAGGAGGGAGGTGAGAGATTAACCTGCGGAGTAATCAAGCTACCAACTCTCTCCTCTGCCTGCGCCAGACCCGAGACGCTTCCACTAAGTATAAACTCCGGCTTCTGTCCCCTGAGGGCCTAGCAGCACTGCACAGGCAGGAGCTGCACGCAGCCCTGCGCAGTGAGACCCTGCTTGACCCTTCCCTGGGCTTGCAGCGTTGCCTGCAAGCACAGCCCTGTTTGGCCTCCTTGCCTCCAGAAGAGCCACGCTGCTCCCCCGCACTCTGGGTTCCAGGGCAGGGCCCCGACTGTCAGAATCCACCCTCCGCGGAGTCTCCCTTCTTCACCCAGGCAATGACGATTCTTGACCAAAGGCTGCAGTGATCATTTCAAACAGTCTTAGAAATGAATGGCATGAACCAAATCGTGCCAAAGCCACACTGTGGCAGACAAAGTACTCTCAGTCTTATCCAAGTGGGCAGAAAAAACTCGAACATTCCAAACTACTACAGGGAAAGCTAAAGTCCCCATGGCGAGAAGTGAAGGGAAATCTCCATGTCTTAAATAATCAGCCCCCCATGGAAACAAAACATGCAAAAGTAAGACCCCCAAGCCAGACACACCTTTGTTTCACCTGCAATGGGGGCCACGTTGCACACTTTCTTGGAACGCAGCGTGTTGATCACAGAGCTCTTGCCAACGTTTGGATAGCCAATAAAGCCAACGCTGATCTGCTTCTTGTCAGTGTGCAACTGCTCAGAAAGAGAACACACAACACAGACATGCAGTCACAAGGGTCCTTCGGGACAGACAGGCTGTGCTACCTAGATAATGTAAAGAACAGAGTGCAGGGACCAGCATTCTGGCACAGCAGGGTAAGCTGCGGCTTATGGCGTCCCATGCCCAAGCGCTGGTTAGAGACCTGGCTACTCTGCTTCTGGCCCAGCTCCCTGCTAATGAGCCTGGGAAAGCAGCAGAGGATGGTGCAAGTACCTGGGTCCCTGCCACCCATGTGGGAGACCCGGATGGAGTTCCAGGCTCTCAGCTTCACCCTAGCCTAGCCCCAGCTGTTGTGGCCATTTGGGGAATGAGTAAACAAGTGGGTGGAAGATCTCTTTCTGTTTCTTCTCTGCCTTTCAAATAAATAATCAAATCTAATAAATAAATAACTCAGTGCAAAACAAAATGTCTGGACACCCAATCACATCACACCTTCCCAAGTCAAGTACACAGCACCCCTGTCCTAATGTATCAATCAGAGACGAGTCAATTCCTCAGCTATCCATGTGAAGTTATCCTTGAATGTGCGAAGGTTACAAGTAAACAGACTGAGAACAAAGGAAGAGCTGGTGTTGTATTAGTCACTGACTTAGACCACCACCACCCACGGACAAATGTCTTCAGAGAAGAGAACCTCAAAACTCAGACCACTGGGTGGAGTCTCAGTGAGGCAGAGCTCAGCTTGTTTTCAGGAAAGTCCGTTCAGTGGGTGGGACTTGGGACGAAAGGTGGTGACCTCCACATACACACTGACCTCATTCCCTCCAAGTCCCCAGCATGACAGCCGTGCAAATCAACACTCAAAAACCAAAAGTAAGAGATCAGACAATAAAAATGAACCCGTGATGGTAACAAAACACCGAAGCTAACCTGGCCAACTACAAAACATGAACGCTAAGTGGCCACAAAGGGAGACAAAGAGCCGGGCAGCAAGCCTGTGGAAGCAGCCACTCCTCCCAGCGCAGGCGCACAGCTGCCCTAGACCAGCAGAAGGCCAGGGCGTGGGGAAATAGTGATTTGAAAAACCCTGCATGTCTGACAACGCTTTTAAGCAAACAAAGGCCAGTGTTCCCAGAGCAATAAACTGAAAGTCTAAATACCGAACAGTGAGACCCCAGCCCACACCTGCCCTGACTCCCAGAAGCCCAGCAGCCAGGCTTATGCCTGAAGAACAAGACTCCTTTCTGGGCAAACTTTTAGGCCCAAGAAAGAAAGACCCACACATCTGAGCCTTACAGGATGTCCACCAACAAAATTCAATCAATCTGCAATGAGGCCAGTCAGTTAGCAAACCCAATCTGGCAAAACAAAGTCTGGTTTTTGTCTAAATTTTTATGCATTTATTTTCATATTATCGGAAAGGCAGATCTCCCATCTGTTGGTTCACCCTCTAAATGCCCACAGCAGCCAAGGGCTGTGCTGGGCTGGGCGGACCTCAGTCTGGTCTCCCACATAGAGCATTTGGACCATCATCTGCTGCCTCCCAGGGTATGCATTAGCAGGAAACTGGATCAGAAGCAGAGCGGCCACGACTCGAATCAGGGATTCCAACATGGAATGTGGGCCTCCCAGAGCGATTTAACCACTGAGCCAAATGCCTGTCCCTCTATCACTTTATAAAGGTTTATTTATTTGAAAGGCAGAGGAACAGAGAGAGATCTCTCTCATCTGCTGGTTCACTCCCCAAATGCCTGCAAGAGCCAGGAACTCCATCTGGATCTCCTGTGTGGGGTGGCATGGGCTCAGCACTTGCACCACCATCTGCTACCTCCCAGCTGCATTAGCAGGAAGTTGGATCAGAAGCAGAGGTGGAGGTGGGGCTCAAACCCACACGAAGTGAAAACCCCAAGTAGGAGCTGCACCCACTGCCCCACAAAACCTGCCCCCTTTACCAGCTTTTCCACGCCTGCCCCTTCCAAGTGAATGGAGAACCAAGACTGAGCAGACATTTGAAGTAAGACTCCAGCAGAACAGACAGAAAAACAAAGAAACCTGGAGGCCAGGGAGTTAACGTTGGGAGAAGAAAATTTCAAAACACACCATCAACACTGTCGGAGAAGCAGAAGAGAGATCACAGCTGTGAAAGATGTGAAAGGGGCGGGGCGAGTCAGAGCTAAACAAGAGCTCTCAGAATTAAAAGTGTTAGGCAAAATAAATGTTGTGATACGGCAGCTGGATGAGTCAGTCAGGGGAGCTGCCCAGAAAACAGAGCCGAAACGCCACGTATACACCGAAAGGAAGAAAAGGTAAGGAAGTTCAAGAATGAAACCAGAAGGTAGGACCCAACTCCTAAGTAAGAATACAGACTTTGGAGGGGGTAAATGAAATCTCAAATAGCAGAAGACAGCACTGGGGAAGGCGTGTGACGCAGCAGGCTAAGCTGTGGCTTGAGACGTTCACATCCCTCGTCAGGGTGCCTGAGACCGAGTGTCGCCCCTCCTTCTGGTCCAGCTTCTGATAGCACCCCAGGAGGAGGCACACGATGGCTCAAGTGCCTGGATCCCTGCCACTCACAAGGGAGGCCCAGCAGAGGGCGCTCTCAGCTCCTGGCTTCCACTTGGCCTCACCTTGCCTGTCGTGGGCATCTGGAGACTGAACCAGCAGATGGAAGAGTTCCCCCTCTCCCTGCCTTTCTAAATAAGTAAAACTAAACAAATTTTAAAAAAAGAAACAGTATCAGCCCGAAAGCCCCACCTCCTGCTGCACAGCAAAGTCCTTCCCTTCCAGACACATCACTGTGGAATTTTCAAACAGGACTTTTTAAAAAAGATACAACTGCAAAGGATTAGGAGTCGAAATGATCTCACATTTCTCAACATCAACGCCAGAAGTCAGAAGCCAACAGCGGGGCCTTTGACACTGAGGAGAGACCGTGTAGGGACAGGATGCAGACTTTCAGAGTCACAGGGCCTCTCAAAATAATCTTCCTTCTAAGCTCCCCCTTCTCAGGAAGCTTTTGAAAACTACATTCCATCAAAAGGCAGGCACAACCCAGAGAAGAAAAGGGCTCCAACACAGGCAAACAGCCACAGGCAGGGGTCCTCAGGACGAGGGCTGCAGCCGGCTAGGGCGTGGCCAGCCCCATGGGAAGGGAGGAGCAGGGGGGCCTGTGCCCTCTGTGGGCCCACATGTTCTGCAGTTCCTCCTCCACAGATACAACGAAGGAGCAACTCAACACGGGAGACGAGGCGAGCTCCTCTCAGGAGGAACTACACTCACAGTGCACCATGTGCACAGGCCTAACCACGTAAACGGAGAACTGGGCAACCCAACATATCGCCCAACAAGATGGCAAAGTGGAAACGGGAGGATGTGCGGACAGAGGACGGCCAAGAGAAACTCAGTGCCCACTTCCCACAGCAGGAAATTAGTAACTGGCCAAAACCCAGGGGCAGGAGGCGTCGGGATGAAATGGTAGGCACGGACTAAACATGTGGGGAACAGCTCCCCGACTCAGCTCTGCGCTGGCATCTGCTTCAGCTGAGCGGGAAAGGATGGGACAGGAGATGCACATCTTTCTTGAAGCCAGGTACGGTTACTCAGATACACAAGTACACGGCACGGGTGCAGAGCAGGACACCTGGCAAACACTCGGCAGGGTTCGCTTGTGCTGGGGTCCCCAAGGAGCCAAGCTCTGCCCAGGGACCCCGGGTTTGGCAGGGCCCTGTCTGGGCACAGGGATGGACACTGCCAGTGCCCAGGGGTGGGGAAGACACAGCTAGGGGGAGGGGCCAGGGAAAGGGCAGGAAGGGAAGCCATACTGGTCAGGGACGGGGCAAAGGCCGAGCGAGCACACCTCTCCCGTGAGTTCTTGCATTCTTGCACCTCCAGGCCACAGGCCAGGTGTGGGACGCGAGCCTGGCAGCTTCCGACACGACGCAGTGAAGGAGACTCTTACACAGAGCACAGCCGCGCGCCCCAGGATGAGCAGCTCGGGCCCATACCTTTCCGAACTGCCGCAGGAGCTGAATGAATGCCCCTTTGCCGAAGGGGTTGGTGAGACTCGCGTGGAAAGCCAGGGTCGGATAATCCTGGGACAGCACGGCAACCCACCGCTTCTACAGGGAGACAGGAAAACCAGGCTGAGTGCAGCTCGTCTACTTTCAAGCTGGGGAAGAATCAGAGCCAGAACGGAAGGACTGTGTTTCAAAGACATTGCTGTCCACCGTTGCCCGTGCTGAAAAGGCTAGATATAATTCTCCACAGTGTGTCTTCTTCAATCACGACAGCGAATGCTTTCTGTCTGAAAAAAATGCAAACCAGTATCTGCAAAATGCCTTCCCTGCGACCAAATGCAGTTAACAGAACACGACGAGAAGCTGGCCAGAGGCCAGGGCAGTGGTCTCCTTCTGCAGGGGCACGCACTCCTTCTCCAGGTGGGGGCGCCATAGTTGCCCCCTCGGGCCTGCCAGGAGACAGCAGGGGCCTCTGCCCACCCTCAGCAAAGCACACTTCAGCTCTGTCTTCCAATGAAAAGACCTCCACTGACTAATTTCAAGATGGCAACACTTCAATGTCTCAGATGTTTTCTAGGGAAAAACCATGAACTGGTTTATTAACAGAACTCAAAGTCTCCCCGGGCCGAGTGGCCTGCATGGTCTGTTTTGGATTAGCTGCTGTACTTACTGTTGCCCAGGTTGGAACAAGGTCACACTTGTTAAGTACAAAAATGAGGTGTTTCCAGGGCTTCTCCTTCTTCAAGTAAGTCTCGATGTGAGGGGAACGGGTCCCCATGGGGTCCCTAGCATCAAGAACTTGAACAACAACATCTGATGAGTCGATCACCTGCAATGGCAGAGGGAAAAATGGCCTGCTACAGTACAAGCACAAAATTAAACAGGACGGGAGGCTGGGGAAAGCAATAATATTCAGAAACATCGGCAAGGCGGTTACGCGGGGGAGGAGGTTGCAGCCACGCAGCGTCCCATGATCAGGTACCAGTTAGCCTGTGGGCATGTAAAACTCGCCGAATTTCAGACAGGAAACTAGCTTACGTGAAACTCCTCCTCCAGCTGCACGGCCTGTAGAGCGGGACCAGACTCCGGGGCTTCTCTAAGTTTCTACTGTTAATCTGGCTGGCCTTATCGGTGGTGGATTCCTATTATGTTACTGTTTACTCATGTAACTCTGCTTAAAGGGCTGTCTTCCCAAGAATATTATTAGTCTATGGACATGAAACTCAGCAGTTAAAGAGCCCTCAGTCAGAACTCAGGACGCATAAAGCCTCTGCCACTGGCAAGGTAGGCGAGCTCGTGTTCTGTATGTAAACCGAGACGGCTGGACCAAGTAACTTAGAACTGCTCACGTGGCTGGTACCAGGCATGCGCAACCTAAGCAGCACTATCACTGTAGTAGACTGTCAGGGAATACAGACTGGAAACGTGCACGAGGCAGCTGTGACTCTCAGGAGGGATTGTACAACTGCAGTCAGCTGGGACAACGGTAGTGTGTCCGTGGCTGCATCAATCAGAGCTTCTTTGTGGGGGGCAGAAGACAAAGCAGGCAGTGGAATCCATTTTATCGGACAGAGCTGCAGTTTATCACAATCTGTTTTGTCACCTGAGAACACAAAGCCAGCGGAACCACACAATGAGCGAACGCGAGGGTCTCACCTTGTAGAGCTCACCCCATATTCTTTTGGATTGTCCCTTTTTATATATCTCTTCTTGGGCTTCATTTCTAAACAAGAAAACACCCAATGAGCAAGTGTATCCAGATGGAAAGATGCTGTAGGGAGAATCCCACACACTAAGGAAAAGGCTTCCAAACTAGCTGGGTGGGGATAGAGCACAGCGAACTGAATGTGTTAAAAGCAACTACAGAGGCAACAGGTCAAGCTACCACCTGCAGAGCTGGCATCCCAAACAGGTGCCAATTTGAGTCTTGGCTGCTCCACTTTCGATCCAGCTCCCTGTTTATGATCCTGGGAGAGCAGTGGAAGATGGCCCAAATCCCTGGGAGATCCCAGAAGGAGTTCCAGGCTCCTGGCTCCAGTCTGGCCCAGCTCCTGCTATTTTGGCCATATGGAGAGTGAACCAGAGGATGGAAGATACCTCTCACTCTTTCTAATTCTGCGTTTCAAATAAACAAACCTCAAAAAAATTAAAAAATAAAAAGGGACTCTAGCCAAACCTCAGGAGATGACTGGACATCAGAGTGGTGCATACAAACAAGGAAGGAGACAGTGAGAGACACTGCAACACGGTGGACTTCGGAAATGATGCTAAGTGAAGTCATTCAGACACACAGGACAAACACCACGGCTTTCACTTCTGCGAGGCACTGCTACCTACTCTGACTCCTGACTCCCGAGGGACATGGCGCAGAACAGTGGCTGCCAGGGGCCGGGGTAAGGGATACCGGGAAGCAGCTCCTGGCTCCTGCCTGACCCAGTGCCTGGCCGTTGCAGGCAACAGGGAAGTCAACCAGCAGATGGCAAGATTGATCTCTATCTCTCTTTGTCTCTCTCCCCCATAACTCTTTCAAAATAAATAAATAAATAAATAAATAGATCTTAAAAAAAAAAATGTGTCTTTTCCCCCAGTACCTTTTGAAGGAGGAAAAATTGCAAATCAGAATACAGAGTCAACCAGAAAGTTCAAAGAAGTCTGAGAATGAGCGAACCTGCTGCCTCCTTTTGCTGGACCTCACCCCTAGGAGACCCACAGCTGGCAGGGGTGACAGCCGTGAGAGGAACATGGCTGCAGAGACCATGCAAGGCCGCTTCACCCCTTCATTCTGCTGCTCATGAGAAACCAAAGCGGGGCACCCTTTCTGGAGAGCAAGCTGGCAGGGGCCTACCCGAGAGCAGGCACCCCTCTGATGACATCACGTGTCCCCTGGGAAGAACCAAGGACGAGGAAGATTTGCACGTGGATGTTTCACCCTCATCTTGTTTATCACAGGGAGAAAGGGCATATCTGTCTGACAATGGGCCCATCACAAAACACAACTGACTAGAAACGTATTCTAACTCATTTAGGAAAACACATGAAAATAAAAGGCAAGTTGAAATACTGCCTGAAGATATGTTTGTAAATAAAAAAAAAGAGCCTAAGAGAGACCTAGAAGGATGCCCATCAGGCACCGTCTTCTGGGTATGGGTCTCTACGAGGTGAGTAAGGGGCCTATGAACCGGTTTTCCATCACCACTGTATTTTCTAGCTAATCGAGGCCAGAAGGTACCGCTGCTATAAAGAGGACAGTGTGACCTACTTACTAACATGACGTCACCGTAAGCGTGAAGGGAGAACTGGGCGACGGAGCCGCCTTCCATGTTCTGGTCTCGGGGACGAGGACAAGGCCCCACCCGAGTCAAATCGCCGCCAGGCGAAGGCGAAGGCCGCCAAAGAGGACGCGCCGCGCAGGCCCTGTCACTGTACCTCACGCCAGTGTCCTCATTCACCAGGTCGCGGTCCTTGCCCTGGTCGTAGCTCTCAGTGGACAGCTCAGCATTCTCCACGAGGGACTGCATGTCGCTCGCCGCTAAGTTGGGTCGCTTCCTCTGCGACTTGGGGCCAAAAGTCGTTTCGAAACTTTCAGTATCAAGAATGTGCACCTTCGCGTTCTAGAGGGAGAAGACGACGACAGGTGAGGCGAAGGAAAGGACGGAGGAAAGGCACCACGCTCGAAAGCCTGTCCCAAAGCCCCACCCACACCAGAATCCCCCGGGACGCAGGTGCTTCGCGCTGCCTTCGAGGCAGAAATGCTTCTTTAAATAGCACAGCACTGATGCCCCCACTGTGAATTCCTGTAAACCTCTCTGGAGAAACAGAAGAGTAACACAAACAAGCAAGCAGATAGGAACCGTGGTAGAAGACTTGCCAAAAACGCTGCTTTATTTCATTTATCATAAACTTTTGTCCACGATGCTGAAAATCAACTTATCATTTCTGACCCTTTATTCTTAGCTTTCAAGCAAGTGTGGAAAATTCGCCAAATTCAGAGATTTTGTCAGGGACAATCATACTCAAATTTGTGTTTTTTTTTTAAACCAACTGTAAATGCCAACTTTTTCTTGGAAGTTACATTTCTTTCATGGCTAAAAGGAATTGCTTGTTTTGTACGATGCATTTTAGTTTCAGATAACATTTTCCCTAATTTAGGTAAGGTCTTTTATTAAATGCACATGGAAAGTCTTCAGATGAAAAACATCTAGCAAAAGTCCAAAATAAAAGTTTAGATGTGATAAAAGGAACCTGATACTAACTAGAACTTGATGGGCCTGTAAAGGAGTTACAGACATAGGAATGTTTGAAGCAGGATAAAAGGCGAAGTTTGTGTTGGGATCTATCACGTAACAGAATGCAGCAGCTGGCAGAAAATCTCCTTAAAAAGAAAGAAACAAAGGAAGAAAAACCATCCACTTCCCCCTCAGTACAAACTGCTCCTCAAGCACTAATTCCCAAACTCAGGAAGATGGATCAAACCTTGTGGCTTCTAAACTTTAATGGACCCCCCCCTCCAAATCCCAGAGTTCCATAAAATGCCATCATTCCGTCAGATTCTCTGGCTCGTTTCTTGGCTTACTTTCACTAACCACCCGCATCAGCGGAACACCCACACAAGAGAATGGCATGAACAGCACTGCACATGGGACCCAGGTTCTAAGATCATGGGTATAATCACGTACGGTCACACTGTCCTTGACGATCTCCAACAATCCATAAGCACAGCATACATAGATTTGTGCCTGTAAACCTACACATGAAGAGGCGCGATGCACTAATACCTATTTTAGGTAGGCAAAATAAGTTATAGTACTTTTGCTGTGTTGCTACAGAAATCACATTCTCATACACACAGGCGTGAATGTGCGCAAGATAAAAGCATGTCCGACTTGACACTACTGTGCCAACAAACTCAGAATTCCACTTTACAGGAAGTAACAGACACTGTACTAACACCAAAAATGTAAGGATTTCTAGGAGCAAAGCAGAAAACTCAATGACCCCGAGAACCTGTCTGCATCAAAACGGCAGCTGCGGCAGCTGCAGGTACCGTTCCAAGGGCAGCAACTTAAGCACTGAATCTTAGATGCCCCGAACAACTGGAACAGGCAACAAAGCAATGAGTCCATAATAGAACTTCTCTGTTCTTCCCATAAACAGGATTCAAGAGTTGGTTACAAGATGGCTTTAGGGAGAATAGACAAAGAGAACAAGGGAAATGAGCAACTTGTCTGTGGTTCATGAATTACACTCATGTGCTTCCCTGAAAGAAAACAGTCATTTCACTAATAGGTGCCATTCTTCTAGTCCGTCATAAAACAAAACATAATTGACAAAACCTGAGGCAGCAACCAGGCCTTGGTTTAGATTTTGTTCCGCAAGTAAACACTTTTCTTTGAACTGTTTAATCCTTGTACGCACGTCACCAGTCTCCTTCCCTCCTTATGCTGGAACTGAAGCGTACGCACTGGCTACACTTCTGGGAATTATTATTCAGCGCAAGTAAAGATGTGCAGGCAGACGCCAGGCCATCCCTTCGTCCTGTGTGAAACTCAGGCCACTCCGGCCAGACCTAGTCCTGACCGTAATGCAGGCTGCAGTGGCAGCCACCAATCTGGACAGCACCTTCTTTTCAGTGGAAAAGTCCCCAAGGGTCCCACAGAAGCTGGAAGGGACCCTCACCACCTCAATCCTAATCCTACAGTCCCTCGAAGCTTGATGGAATTACTACTTAAGCAGCTGTGCCTACCAAGATAAATAAATGATCAAAAATCGTAACAATGCTGTTGATTCAGCTCTCATTAGGTGGTGTGCTGCGTGCTCACTAGGGGCTGAGTGCTCTCCACACGTTGCATCTGCACGCAGTCGTCCACGGTGCTGATGCATCTTTATGTCACAGGCGGGGACGTGTAAACTCCCAGAGCATCCTCACTAAGGGGCAGAGCAAGAACTACACTTCAGGGGCTGGTGCTGTGGCACAGTGGGTTAAAGTCCTGGCCTGCAGCACCAGCATCCCATAAGGGCGCTGGTTCAAGTCCCAGCTGCTCCTTTTCTGATCCAGCTCTCTGCTATGGCCTGGGAAAGCAGCAGAAGATGGCCCAAGTCCTTGGGCCCCTGTATCCACATGGGAGACCCAGAAGAAGCTCCTGGTTCCTGGCTTCAGATCAGCACAGCTCTGGCCACTGTGGCCATCTTGGGAGTGAACCAGCAGACGGGAGACCTCTCTCCATCTCTACCTCTTTAACTCTTTCAAAGAAATAAAAATCTTAAAAACAACAACAACAACAACAAAACACACTACACTTCAGGCCTCACTCCCAAGCCTGTGCTGTGAGCCACCATGCTACTGCACCTCCCTGACAAAACTCAACCCAGACTACAGGTGAGACCCCTATCAAAGGTGAACAAGGAAGTCTCAGGACATTCACCACTGCTGTATTAAGGCCAGAGACAAACATGTTGGAAAGGTATCTGTGTGGAGTCCACCCAAGAAGTTCCATGGCCAGGGATCTCCCACAGCTTACATGAGGCTGGATTCGATCGTGCAGAAGAGACATCGGCAACTTGCTCTGCTTCATGACGACTTTGTATGGATCCTTCATGACAGCCTCCATTTCCTCTTGAAACTTTTGCAATGACGACTGCTTAATCACACGTGTGTTTCCTGTTTTCAAACAAAGAGTGTCGCCATGTAATAAACAATTCTGTGTGGCTTCTGCCACCTCCCCACTGGCACAGGGAAAGGCAAGACTTAAATTGCCCTCCACCACCCAAGCACCAGACACACCCACTCCTGTGGCCCTTTCAAACTCAGGGGGGGGGGGGGGGGAACCACCACAAAACCGCTTCTGCACTCGCACACTATGATCTAATCCACCCAACTCAGACACACAGAGGATTTCGTGGTTTTCCAAGCCCGATTTCCTGACTGGATGAAACTGAAAATCAAACATCAACAAAGGGAACTGCCTTTGAGATCTGTCCTACTCCCTGTTCCATCCGGCCATGGGATCCAGAGCACTCCCGGCTGATCGGTCTCTGGTCAGGCGCACAGAGGCGCGGTTACAAAGGCTGGGGAGGAGGGTGCTATCAACATATAAATCTCCGCAAGGGAACACATCGGAGCCACACAACCACACGACAGGACCCGGCGAACACCTTGCAAGAGACCGGGCCTCAGAAAGTGTTCAGTTAAACAGCGCATTACAGCACGAGTGCAAAACCTCCAGGCAGTGATGGCAAGAGCAGTCAGCGCCTACACTGCACTCCCTACTCGTGGGGACCCCTCCAAGCACCCCACGTCTTTTCTCTTTAATCACCACCACACTGCTGTGGGACAGGCATGACTTCTACTCCCACTGCAGAGAAGAGCAAACAGATGAACGGGCAGACGCTGTAACTAGTCCACAGTCACCTGCATGGCAGAACCAGAATTCAAACTCAGGCAGCCTGGATCTACACAGTCGCGTGCCCAGTCACCTGGTCCTCTCGGGTATTTTCCTGTTGCGGTTCTTAGGCGCTATCCTATCAAGAGGTGTGCCCAAGCACAGAGATCAAACACCAGGCAAGCAGTGGGGTCTGACAGTCTGCATCAGCTTGGGCCCGTCCTTAGCCCCCCCCAGCTATTGGTGGCTAAGAGCAAGTCCAGACTGAGATGAAGGCAGAGATCCCAAAGGAAGAAACCCCGTTCCTCCTGAGACTCCAGACACCCCATCCATTCCCGGAAGGACCAACCAAAAATGAGGCTCTTTCACTGTCATGCAGGTTCAGATGGTTTCATTACGACAAAGTATTGCAGAGGAACTTGAGGCTAGTGTGCTTTGTGATCTAAAAGCACAACCCCACTGGCAAGGCCAGTCTCAAGCAGTAATCACTCCAGAAATGCAGAGTTCAAGGTCTGCGAAGGCTAGTCTTTAAGGCTGGTGGGCTGGCATGGCAGGGTCTGCTGACATTTAACAACAGAGAGCTCTCTTCAAAAGCAAAGTTAGGGGGCCAACACTGTGGCGCAGGCTGATCCTCCGCCTGCAGCGCCAGCAATCCCATATGGGCGCCGGTTCTAGTCCTGGTTGCTCCTCTTCCGATCCAGCTCGCTGCTATGGCCTAGGAAAGCAGTAGAAGATGGCCCAAATACTTGGGCCCCTGCACCCACGTGGGAGACCCAGAAGAAGCTCCTGGCTCCTGGCTTCAGATCAGTGCAGCTCCGGCCATTGCGGCCATCTGGGGAGCGAACCAGCAGATGGAAGATCTTTCTCTCTGTCTCCCCTCTCACTGTCTGTAACTCTACCTCTCAAATAAATAAATAAAATCTTTAAAAAAAAAAAAAAAGAAGTTCGTTTTGAACCCCCCCAGCACTACTTTTCTGAGTCCCCTCCCGTGGAATCCATGACAGTGCCACTCACCCCAGAACCGCACCTGTTAGAAATTTACACATTCCAGCCTTTCCATACAACACCCTTTGGAGAGCAAAGGAAAGGGAGACAACACTCACCAAACCACTTAATATTTGGCTCCACTCTTGCCACTGTGCCAGAAGCCACCGTCGATTGATACTGGAGGGGCTTGATCACTTTACCACGACTATTCCTAAATTGAGGAAGTAACAGATTTCCGATTACGACAGAAGAAAGGCAACACAAAGCCTGGCCATCAGAACAGCCTTTCCAGCAAAAGGGCTTTTTTTCATTTTTTTTGGTTCAAAGGATCATGAAACACAGATTTCAGTAAACAAAAAGAACTTTTACATTTAAAACAGATTGCCCAAAGCCATTTATTCTCTTGCAACAGAGCACGTAATGATTTCTGCTCGATGAGTAACAATGCTGATGTTTAAAAATCCATTTACTGTTTGTTTTTTTTTTTTTTTAAATCACATACTTGAGTTTTTTGAGTAATTATTTGAAACCTGTTTTAAATGAATTCTAAGTAGAGGGCGATTTATGCTGGAACTCAACACTCTAAAACAAACTGCAAAGTAGGTGACTAAGGCAGATTAAGTTCATCGACATTTGTTCTAGACATATCTTTCAGAAGAGACAAAGATCCAATTACCGGCCAAATTAAAAGCAGCTAGCAAAGTGCCACACTCAGCAAGTCCCTGCAGCAAAGGCTGTGTCTGCTCCACTCCCAGCTGGGATGGGACTCTGAGGGCCACAGTGTCAGCATCTCAATCTGGCATGAGAAACAAGTTCCCTGGCTGCTTTCGGTCCTCCGTGCAACGAATCTCTAGCTCACGGATCCTTAACTCTGAGACTTAACGTGCTGTTCACGGAGGCCAGGGCTGTGAGCACCAACACCTCTTCTTGCTCTGGAGAACTGAGAAACCTCCACCAGTTCAGGACCCGTTACCCATGCCTGTAACCAAAAGTCAGTAACAGAACGCCGCTCCTACAAAACATTCCTCTTTGGAGCAGGGGTGGGAAGATCAAAGGCAACGAGTCGAGGGCATTTCGGGAGGGAGAGGACGGCAGTGCCCCGTGCTTACCTGCGCTCCTTCTGCCTGTACATATTCAGGCGCCGGATGGTGGCCCGGTCCCTCATGTTTTGGCCTCCCGGTCCCTGCACTCGATCTGAGAGAGGCAGAAAGAGACAGTGCACTATGTGGTAACCAGCAAGTGGGAATGCTCATGGCTTAAAACGCACCAAGTAGCTTACCCACACCAGGCTAGCTGCCACCTCACCACGACACAACAATATCTTTCTCCGGAAGCTGCTCCAACACGTGACAACTTGAACATGACGCGACAAAGCTACGCCAACCTTTGCACACTATTCCACCTCCTGTTTTCTAGCACTCATCATCCATGTTACCAGCATCATCTCACGTAAGCCATAGAAAAATCACGCTAAATCCCCACGCTGGAGGCTGAGAAACTGAGGCACACAGCTCCTACAGGGCAGAGCCAGAATCTGCACGTGGCTTTCAATCGCCACCTGCACTCTGCGCTGCCAAGACACCCACCTCTTCATTCAGTTTGACAAACACTGAGCACCTGCCTGCTACACGCCAGGCGCCATGGAGACCACAATGCTGACACACATGTGCCAGCTTCCTAATTAGGAAATTGTTGATGCTCATGGAATAAACAGCACAACAGGGAGCAATTCTTACCCTCTCAGAGAGAAAGAGAAATGTCAAATGAGCAAGGTAGATAGTAGCCTCGCCTCTCATTTTGGGAGCTGGAGAAGGCAGGCTGAAATCACAGCGCCGGGGGGCTCCCCGGCTCGCTCGCTGCACCAACTGGAACTCAATACTTCCCCCGCCCGGGTTCAGCTCCGCTCAGCTACACGACCGTGATTTCTAAGGGCCCGTTCAGGCCCAGCGTTCGGAGGCTGCCGTCTGCACAAACTGAGTAACTGGTGACCAGTCCAGGCAAAACATTCATCACGCACTAAAGTCGTCAAAGGCCCCACACTGCATTCCCAAGCAAATTCTTTATTAACTCAATCCGAATGGAAGGCATGCCCTAAAGGCTACCTTGTTGGTCCTGCAAGTGCAGACTGGACAAAACGTCTGTGTTGGAACGACCCTATTTATTGATCGGTAAGGTTTTCTATATACTTTACCGGATGGAATGCCAAAAACCAAATCCACCATCCTTTTCCCGCATAAATGGTCCAACTACGGCGGCAGGGGAGTGTGGTCAGGGGCAAAAGGCCCCCGGGTCGGCCTACCGCGCTCTTCATGGCTTCCTCTGCCTCTCACCCCGGCAGAGGACCCGAGGCTGCCCGGCCTGAGCGACCACGCTCGCCTGACTTCAGGCCAGGTGAGGCACACCTTGGCCTGTCAGCCACGCCAGTTGTCAGACTTCCTCGGCGCTTCCCAACCGGAGACACCACCGCCAAGGCGGCGTTCCTTCCCATTCCCCAAGGCCACTCCGCTCGAGGTCACTCCAGGCCAAGCCACCCAGGTGCCCACCCTCCCCACCTCCCCCCGGCCGCCTCCGCGCCCCGCTTCCGCCCAGCTCCACCCTCCTCGAGCCCCGCCGCCCGTACCCGGGTTCGTGCTGGCCTTAGAGGGGTTGATGGTGCTCCGTCCTTTGTACTTGGGCTTCACCATCTTGCCGGCCGAACAGGGACCCGAGGGCTAGGCCTGGCTCACGTCGGGTGAACGAGTTCCGAACTTCTCCACGACCCGCGTGAACCACACCGGACCACGCGTGCAAGGGCTACGTCACTTCCGCTCGCGCCCCTCCCTTCCCCTGAGCGACTTCCTGGGACGCGCGGCGCGCGCTGCCACTCCCCTGGCTCCGCCCCCGCCCGGCCGCCTAGGCGGCGCCCTACACCAGCCCCCGCCCACTCCCGCCCTAGCAACCGCCAAGCTGCCCCTCCATAGCAACCGCCTAGTTACCCCGGACGCGGGGCCCAGCGCTTCTATTGGATCCACCTCCAAATAAAAAAGGCCTCTTCTCAGGCCAATGACACAAGCTCAAGTTTAATTATCTTTCGGATTTGTCCTCTAAGCTCTTCCAAATATCAATCAGGGCAGGTCACGCTCTTCCTTTAAATTCCAATGGCTTACCATTCTTTTAGGACGAGAGATTCAAACTCTGCTGTTCCTACAGAATTCCGTGTTGGCCCCTGCCCACTTGTCTGACTGTGTTTGCACCTTGCTGCCTCTGGTTAGTCTCACGATTACCCTGCATTTTTCCTCTTCCTGAATCACTGCTTCACTGAATTCTTGCATAGCTCTTTCCTTCTGATCACTCAATGTCAGCTACTGATAGAGCTGCAAGAATTAAGAAATAAAAGAATACCCAGTTGAATTTGAATTTCAGACAAAGAATGAATTTTTTTTAGTATAAGTGTGTCCCAAGTATTGCCTAGGACTTTGTTTTGTTTTAAAGATTATTTATTTGAAAGGTAGAATTACAGAGAGGCAGAGGCACAGAGAGAGAGCTCTTCCATCTGCTGGTTCACTCCCCAGTTGGCCGCAATGGCTGGAGCTGGGCCGATCCGAAGCCAGGAGCCAGGCGCTTCTTCTGGGTCTCCCACATGAATGCAGGGGCCCAAACACTTGGACTGCCTTCTGCTGCTTTCCCAGGCCATAGCAGAGAGCTGGATTGGAAGCAGAGTAGCCAGGTTTTGAACCGGTGTCCAAATGCGATGCTGGCACTGCAGGTGGTAGCTTTACCCGCTACACCACAGTGCCAGCCCTTGGGACTTAATTTTATTTAAAAAAAATCATTCATGGGGCTGGCGTTGTGATGTGGCAGGTAAAGCCACTGCCTGTGAAGCCGGCATCCTATGTGGGCACTGGTTCCAGTCCTGACTGCTCCACTTCCTATCCGGCTCTCTGCTAATGGCCTGGGAAAGAAGAAGATGGCCCAGGTCCTTGGGCCCCTGCACCCATGTGGGAGACCTGGAAGAAACTCCTGGCTCCTGGCTTTGGATCGGTCCAGTTCCAGCTGTCACTGTCATTTGGGGAGTGACCCAGCAGATGGAAGACCTCTCTTTCTGTGTCTCTCCCTCTCTCTGTAATTCTGCCTTTCAAATAAATAAGTGAAACTTTAAAAAAAAGTCATTCATGGTTCATCTGACATTCAAGCTGGACTGTACATCCTGTATTTTAACTGGTAATCATCCTACTGGGAGAACTCTTCCCTGAATGATCTGTCCAGGGAAGCGATGGTCGGGCAGGGAGGGGTGGTTCATGCTCTGTCATCTGTTGCATAAAAACAAACAACTTATTATAAAGTGAGGCACTCTAATTGAAGGATGAATGATTGAGTCTTCTTTTCTCTGAGTCTGAAACAAACAAACGCAAGAAAAACAAGCTTTCTAGAGCAGACGCAGGCCAGGTCCCAGCCGGGAGCTGGAAGCACCTTCTCTCCCTGGAGTTGCACTTTTCTTGCCCCAGGGGCAGCTGTCCTGAGATTGGACACAACTCTTGAGGAGGGCTCCGACTCTGACACGTGTCTCAGGGACTCAGCGCTCCGTGGAAAACGCCTGGTGCTCAGTAGGGATCGGCACTGCCCCCTTCCACCCCGTACTGTCCCCTCGATCCCCAAGTGAGGGGACGATCGCCTTCTCCCCGAGACAATTCAAAGTTAATGTGTTTCTGATGCTTCAACTTAGTGCAAACCAGAATAAACACGAATGGCAAAAATCAGCCCATGAGCTCATTCGGGCTTTGATCAGAGACATAATTTCATTATGAAATTTTGCATCAGGCTGTTGTGAAGTCTTGCCAAGCAGTTTCGTTTTCCCAGATGATACGGCTGCTTCTTTCTCTCCTATTCATATCCTCTGCCTGTATGCATCGTACAAGGCTCCCATCTATTTTTACAATCTGACCCGGCAATCCTTTCACGACAGTATTTGCCAGCCTCCTAACCAGTCTCAGTCCTACCGGGAGACAAGGAGCCTCATTGAGGTGGCTCGAGCTTGTTACTGGTTCCGTTGGCCTGCTCTGCTTGCTGCAACTGTAATACCGTGACTAACTTTTCACTTTCTTTTCTGGTGTCCTGTCCAACACAGGAGGCAGGACCCACCTCCAGGCCTACAGTTCCTCAGCTTTAAAATAGGACATCGATGGGGCTGGCACAGTGGCGTAGCGGGAGAAGCTGCCGCCTGTGGTATCGGCGTCCCATGTGGGCGCTGGTTCAAGTCCCAGCTGCTCCATTTCTGATCCAGCTCTCTGCTATAGTCCTTGGGCCCCTGCACCCGCGTGGGAGACTAGAAGGAGGCGCCTGGCTTGTGGCTTCAGGTTGGCACAGCTCTGGCCGTTACGTCCACTGGGGAGTGGACCAGGGGATGAAAGACCTCTCTCTTTCTCTCTCTCTGCCTCTGTCTTTCTGTAACTCTGTCTTTCAAGTAAAATGGGTAAATTAAAAAAAAAAAAAAAAAAGGACATCATCATGACTGCACTGCGCCAGAAGATTGCGATGTGATCCTCTGTGTGATGTTGTGAGAAGGTGTGGCAGACCTGGTACACACCTGGGATGCTTTGTTTTTTCTCGGGACCCAGGGTTAGCCCCTATTCCCTGGAATCTTACTCATCCATAACCCCCGGTGGGTATTATTGGGAAAATTCCAGCAGAGATGAGCTGGAAACTCCACACAGCCCCATGCTGTGTTCTGGACTGGTGTTCTCATGGGAAGCACAGAAGATCGGCCTCGCTTTCATCTTCATCCCGTTAGAGACGTGGTCGCTGGCGTCTGATGGACAGATACTAGCAGTTCCTAAAATAGCATTTTTCAAGTGTGGTCTGAGGGTCACTAACATGGGGATCGCTTGGGGGGCAGCTGGTTAAAAAATGCAGACTGCTGGACTTTACCCCAAAGCCTCGGGAAGTCAGACCCTCCCCGAGGGGAGGCCCAGAGAATCTATATATCAGGGATTCTTGTAGACACCGAGGCTTTAGATCTGAAAAGCCAAGTTTTTCCCATAGTCGCCTGTAGTTTTCTGCTCAGCTGACCAGAAGGCAGCCCTAGAAGATCCAGCCACCTCCCACCTTGCTGGTGTCCTGTCGCTCTTCTCAGCAGAGCTAGACTGAGGCAGGCTGCAACCCCGTCTAAGGCACTCTGAAGATCTACGTCTTGGCTCTTCCCCAAATGCTGTGATATCTATGCTGCAGCCAGAGGGTCGTTATCCTTTGGCAAAGCTCCATTGTTGGGCCATTAGCTCTTAATTAGTGCCAGCTTGTTGATTTATACTTACCAGTTCAACTGCAAGCAGAGGTTCTTCAACTGAGCCCTCTGTGTCTCGCCTCTGCTCCGTCCATGACACAATGACTCCTTGCCTGCTGGGGCCAAGTGCTGGGTTCCTAGAGTGGCTACTGCTCTATGTGAACCTGATCCAGTCCCCAGGTAGGAGGCTATGGTATGCCACGGAGAGCGAGCAAGGGCTCAGAAAATACTTTCAGAGTTTTGTTGTCTTATTTCATTTGTACTAAATAAAAAATGTTCTTGGTGATATGCGGGTACTTTAAAAAAAATTGGAGGAGTCTGGGTTGTGGCATAGCAGTTAAAGTTCCTGCTTGCAATACCAGCATCCAATATGGGCAGCTGGTTTTTGTCCCAGTTGCTCTACTTCTGATCCAGCTCCTTGCTAATGGCCTGGGAAAAGCAGTGGAGGATGGCCCAATGTTTGGGCCCCTGCCACCCGCAGGGGAGACCTGGAAGAAGCTCTTGGCTTTGCCCTGGCCCAGTGCTAGCCATTGCGGCCATCTGGGGAGTGAACCAGCAGATGGAAGATCTCTCTCTCTCTCTCTCTCTCTCTCTGTGTAACTCTGAGTTTCAAGTAAATAAATAAATCTTTTTGTTAAGTTTGTGAAACATGGAATCAAAGGATAAGTTTATTTCTGTACAAAAAGAATTTGAAATCCATGTGCAGATTTTTCATGATATGCATCTTGCTTGAACTTTTTAAAAAAGATTTACTTATTTATTTGAAAGGTAGAGTTAGAGAGAGAGAGAGAGCGAGAGAGAGAACAACAGAGAGAGAGAGAGAGAGATCTTCCATCTGCTTGGTTCACTCCCCAAATGGCCCCAGTAGAACTCTTAAGTGGGTGCAAGGACTCAAGTATTTGGGCCATCTTCCAGTGCTCTCCCAGGTGTATAAGCAGGGAGCTGGATTGGAAGTGGAGCAGTCAGGATATAAATTGGCATTCATGTGAGATGCTAGCATGGTAAGCTGTGGCTTAACCCACTGTGCCATAACCAGTCCCCTTGAACTCTTTGAAGATCCTCCTCATATAACTTCAACAATTCACCGGCAAATGTGGGTGGGTATTTGGTGGGGTGGTTAAGTTGCTGCTTGGGACACCAGCATCCCATTTCCAAGTGCCTGGTTCAAGACCCAGTTACTCCACTTCTGATCCAGCTGCCTGTTAACATGCACTCTGGGTTGCAGCAAGTTATGGCTCAAGTGCTTGGGTCCCTGGGCAGTGGGTTAAGGCACCACCTGGGAAGTCCACATCTCATATCAGAGTACTGGTTCAAGTACTGGACACTCCGCTTCTAATCTAGCTTCCTGCTAATGTGCCTGGAAAGCAGCAGATGACGGACCCAGTACTGGAGTTCCTGCCACCCACATGGGAGACTTGCATGGAGTTCCTGGCTCCTGGCTTTGGCCTGGCCCAACCCTAGCTACTGTGGGCATTTGGGGAGTAAACCAGCAGATGGAAGACTTTCTCTCTCTCCCTTTCAAATAAAATGAAAATAATAAAAAAAACTTATTTTAC